ACAACAACCCCAAGGGCGAGCTGTAAGCGAGCTGAGAACAAGTGGCTGCCTTCCAGCTCAGCCCCTGGAGGGCTGCAGCTGGAGAGGAGGAGGGTAAAGCTGTGATAGAGGTTTTACAAGAAACAGATGAGACGAAGCAGGGCAATAAGAGTTGAGAGACCATGTGGGAGGTTGATGGGAAGGGGAGAGGAGGAGGAAGAGTTGAGAATGAAAGTAGGGAGCGACAGGGCAAGAGGGACAGGTAGGAGGACATGGGGGGAGGAGCGAGGAAGAGGAAGAGGTCAGATCCGAGAGAGGGAGAGGTAGACGAGGTGGTGGATGCTGTTCTCCTCATCAAAGGCCAAACCCCACATGACCAGGAAGAGTTCCTGCGACACGCTCAGCCCTCCCTCTGCTCCTGCTCCTGCTCCTGCCCCTTGCCCCTGCTCGTCCTCTTGCTCCTCCTGCCCCTTCCTCCAGCTCCTGCTCCTGCTCCTGCTCCAGCTCCAGCTCCAGCTCCAGCTCCTCCTGCTCACCTTCCCCTTGGATGGACGGAGTGTGGAGAGGAAGGACTTGTCGCGCACTCCGAGGATGCCGTCCCATGCTCCCTCGTCCACCCACTGCCCGGAGCATGAGGGAAGTAGAAGAGAAGCGAGCAGATCACCTCGTCTTGCTCATCGGTGGAGGGATCTGAAGAGATTTGTGAGAGAGCGCAAGGGGGTGGAGAGAGGAAGGGGGCAGGAGGGAGGAGGAAAGAAGAGGGCAGAAGGCAGGAGGGAGGAGGGAGGGATGGAGGAGGAGGAGGAGGGAGCGTACTGGACAGAGGGACAGGAGGAGGAGAGTGGGGGAGAACAAGAGGGAGGACGTGAGGGGGAAAGTGGAGGGAGATTGACTATTGGAGGGGAGAAGGGGAGAGGAGGAGGATGGAAAGTTGAGAAATGGGAAGGAAGGACGAAAACCTTGAGTCTCGATCCAGACTTTGATAGGATCGCCTTCCTGGAGACAACATGATACTCTCCTCCCCTCGCCTGCCGCACTTCTGTCCTCCCTGCCCCCTCCTCCTCCCTCTACTTGCTGCCTGCTTCCTGCTTCCTGCTTCCTGCTTCCCCCGGCCTCCTGCCCTCTCCCTCCTCGTTCTTTTCAGTGCTTGACCTCCTCTTCTCCTCTCCTCCTCCTTCAATCACCGGCAGTGTGACGGAACGAAAATTCTCGCAGGCAGAGATGGATGTGGCAAGATCGCCCTGAAAAGGAGGTTGAGGAGAGGAGGAGGAGGAGAAGGAGGAGGAGGAGGAGAAGGAGGAGGAGGAGGAGGAGGAGGAGAGGAGAGGAGAGGAGGAGGAAAGGAGAGGAGAGGAGAGGAGAGGAGAGGAGAGGAGAGGAGGAGAGGAGAGGACAGGAGGGGAAAGGAGAGGGGAGGAGAGGGGAGCAAAGGAGATGGAAGGCGAGGGAGGTAAGAGACGAGGCGGAGAGGAGATATGACATAGTAGTGAACAGGAGGAAAGACGAGAGGAGGAAGGCAGAGGAGAGGAGGGCGAGGGGGAGGGGGA